TACTCTTCAACACATGCCACGGCCATCCCTTCTAGCAATCACTATGCTGCCTCCAAGCTCCAGCCAGAAGAAGGCCTGGCATAACTCCCCACCGATTCCACCACATCCTAGCATTGTCCAGCGCCGTATGGAGCTGCTGACGTCGGACATGCTTACGCGGGCACTAACCTTGGTAAGCCGTGGCCAGCACGACCGCGCCCATACCTTGTTAAGCGAAACGAGATCTATTCTCAAGGGTTTGGGTAAAGGCGGACTGCCTCCAGTGCCCTCTCCACCGAATAAACCTAGTCCGACAACAACACATCCAGGCAACGAGTCGTCGCCCAATCCAGCTGGAACCCCTGACCGGAAGCGCAGCCCATCTCCTCCTACCTCCGCCACCTCTTCTGGCGGAAATGGCTATCCGGCAACTCAGATCGCCCGAAGTCGCTCTAACGATGGTCTTGGACTTGGCAGTGGTATAGATCCAGGCACGGTGGCTGCTTTGGATATTGAATTGGAGAGCAGTTTGGAGTGGATCAACCACCCAGCCGTCTTTGGACGTGACAGCCGCAAGGCTGTTCTGCAGGCTATTGGAGTTATCAGCTCGCAGCGTGCGTTCACTTTTCGAACGCCGATTGAGACCCTCTGGTCTGGCCGCGTGAGTGGTATCCGGCGCCTTGCTGATAAGAGCAGGGAGTGGCGAGAGGAAGGCGGAGGCGAAGGTGGCATCATGGAGGAGGCATAGCTGCCGGTGTCTACATTCCCGGCGGTATGCTCTCAGCCGTCAATTGCTACCCTTTCCCTTGTTTGCCCTTCGTCAATTCTACTTTGTAATGTTTAACATGGCAATGGTGGCCGCTCTCTGGCTGGAGCTAGCTGGTCCCATCACACCGTTTCGTTATTTTCGTTTCTTACGCCTTGACGTTTTATGACAGTCCACAACTTCACAATCTTTGAAACCGGTGTGCTTTATAGCACCCACAGGCCGAACTCGACTACAGATGTCTCATAACACATCCACCCGACCAGGTCAAATATACCATTCTCTACGTCAACATCATGTCGCATGCCGCACAAAAAAGCTACATCTATTTCAACCCTTTCTATTATACCCCTCGCGCCCCCAGAAATTTGTAGCGGCGTGCTGTCTTGGCTATCTTGTTTTCCTTTTTGAGGCTTTATTCTTTTGAATATATTACACTACGACAACCTTGCTTCTTAGGACTCGCACAGACCACAGGATTCCTTAGCAATCGGCTCTGAGCTTCTCTAATATGGCCAATGTTTTGCCCCTTTCACAGCAAATAACAGCTCCTTGTCGTGCTTATAGGTTATTATGGCTGGTTCTAACTCCCCTGTCGTTTTGTTCGATGATCTCTTTCACCTTCGATAATGTAATACGAGGGATGCTAGGGGACATTTTGGCAGGGAGATGGCAAGATACAGAGCTTGAAGAATAAACACACACACACATATATATATATATCCAGGTATATATAGGTCCTCATATATCATGATATGACGGCGGTGATGCTTTTAGCAAATCTATTGGGGAAATCTAGATAGATGTGTGATGCTGATCTATTATAATCTACGAGTTTCAACCCATATCTCATCTTTTTGGTGGACGCAACAGAATGCAGAGTGGCAATGATTTGATTGGACAATCCCACTGTCTCCTCGTCTATTCATCCATATTTTCCCTCAAACGATTTTGTTGCGCCATACATACAATTTTCCATTCCCAGATGAGAGAGAGTAGATATCTAAGCGACTACCGCATTTTGTCTCTGGGGACGAACCAACCAGAAACTCCTTCACCTTTTGTAACTTGGAACTGAATTTTTGTTTTACTTTACCTAGCCCATCGCCCAATTTAGTCCTCATCCCAGTTCTGACATTATACGTGTTAGTAAATTTTTGTAGGAGATATGAAGAGGGCTAGAAACTCACAGGGTTGGGACCAGGGGGTTTGGGGCCACCAGCCTGTCTTGCGACAATGATCTGGTCGACGGATAAGACGGTGCGGGCGGCTTCGGTGGCGAGCTTGATAGCCCAGGATTTGGAGGTGAGAAGATCGAGTATTCCTTCCGAATTTGCATCAAGGGTACCGGTGTTATCGTTGTTCTAAGGTTGAGAATGGGTGTAAGACAGTTGGAAGATATTCAGCTTGTTTGAAGTGATTTGAAACTTACCTCTACGTCAACGCCGGTATCGCCATCTTCATTCTTGTGGTGAGCAGCATATAATTTGCTTAGAACCTCAGTGGCATCGAGGCCACAGCTTTCTGCCAAGGTCCGAGGAATGACCTCGAATGCTTCACCGTACTTTTTGATGGCATACTGGCTTAGTCCTGGGGTCTTTTCGCCTTGGGCTTGTATTCTGGCGCTTAGTTGAATTTCTGTAGCTCCGGCACCAGGCACGAGGCGAGGATCACGGGTAATGGCCTTGACAACGTTGACACCGTCATCGACAGCGCGCTCTACGTCGTCAAGGTGATTCTGGGTGGCGCCACGAAGGACAAGGGTGGCAGTTCTAGTGACTTCGTCTTCTTGTCTGAAGACGGTGACGCGGTCGCCACCAATCTCGAGAGTCTCAACAACGTCAATGTTGCCCATTTCATCAGGCATGGGGGCACCTAGTCGGGCGAGAGGGGTGGCACCGACAACCCGGCATACCCGGCGTAGCTCGAATTTGCTGAGGATTCTGATGCAGAGGATACCGAAACGATTAAGGTAGTGCATGGCTAAATCGCCAACCTTGTCGCCGCAAACAACAACACGGAGGCCAGAGTCATGCAGTTCCTTGATGGCGGTCTCGAGCTGGGCCTCCTCGCCTTTGCTAAAGTCCATCATTTCCTTGGCATTGTGCAGCAGTACAGTGCCCTTGGTCTCGGTCTGGCTGGTATCGATGGGGCAGGTGAAGACGGCAACCTTGGCACGACGGGCCTTCTTGACAGAACCATCGGGTTCCTTGGGGAACACCATACCCTTGACGACTCGGCTCTGCTCCAGGCTACCACCCATGATCTTGACGACGCGGATATTGTCGACGTTGAAGTTGGTAGGGTTTTTCGGCAGAACGGCCAAGACGGCTTCGGCGACGAGATCAGCCAGGAAGTCCTCGTTGCCGTTCTGCTTGCTGGCGATGACGGTTCGAATAGCCTTGCTCAGCTCCTCCTGGTCACGGATGTCTTCGACCTTGTCGACGGCAAGCTTCTCGAGCGTCTCGAGGGCAAAGTTCTGTGCCTTTTCGTAGCCCATGACGATGTCTGAGGTTTTGAGGCCCATTCGCAGAAGGTCCTCGGCTTTGCGAAGCAGCTCACCGGCCAGGATAATGACCAGGTTGGTGGCGTCGCCCATCTCGGCTTCCTGCTGCTGACTGGCCATGACGAGGAGTTTGGCGGCGGGGTGGACGACATCGAGCTCCCGGAGAATGGTAGCGGCGTCGGAGGTCAAGATCATCTTCTGAAGGTGGTTGATGACAACCTTGTTGCGGCCGTAGGGGCCAAGAGAGGTCTGGACAGTGGAGGCAATGGCACGGCAGGCGTCGATGTTTCGCAAGACGGCGCCATCTTCGGAATCATAGCTGGTGATGGCCCCCGCATGTTAGCAAAACTTGATGCGGCGGGGTGTAGATGAGAGCGAGGGCATTGGGCGCAGCAACTCACTTGTTGTAGCCTTGCTTGAAGAGGCCCGCGTTGGGGGCATTTGGGATGTTGAGAGACATGGCGGCAAGGCTGTGAGATGTGAGACGACGTAAGACTAGCAGAGGCTCACCACACTCGGGCTTGCGACGAGTAGAGGCGGCGGCGGCGGTGGTGATGGAGGCGGCAGATTTGTCGTGGTTCTTGTGCTTTCCACTCGAAAGCTCCCCCGTGGAATGGCCCCGCCAGAAAATCTGTGGTGGTCGAGTGTGGTGGTGCTTGCAGCCTTGGTGGTGGTGGGTGGTTCCTTCCTGCGTTGGTGCTGCATCTCTGGCCCTGCCGCCCTGGAGGGTCTTTTGTTAATCCGCCTCCACCAGTCAGTCAGTCGCTCATGGCGTCCGAATACCGGCATGTCCCGAGCACCCATGTCACGTCTGGTCCAACTGGAAGGTACACCAGCACCAGCAATGCAGGCATAAACCATTGAACACCACGTCGGCGCTGGGCTTGCGCACATGGGACGTGGGAAAAGACCAAGTCGACCAGTTTGATTCCAATGCACCTGCTTGTGCCCTTCTGACGCGCCAATCGTCTCGTCGCATCACAGCCTTGCGTGGCCTCGCTCGCAACCTCAATCGTCATCTCCATCTCATCCTCATCCTCATCCTCATCGTCCTGCGTCCTGCGTCCTCGTCTCTGTCATCGTCTACTTCCTCACTGCCCGCCCACTCGTCCTGTGGTGGCGGCGTCCTCGAAAGCATCTCAGCTCAGCTCTAGCCTCTCCACTGCCTCGTGCCGGTGCTTCTCGACGCCATCACCTTCCGCGCCCCCTTTCTCTCTCTCTCTGCCCACGCAATTGATTCGGCTTTCCTTGTAAACAATTGGACTCGTTTTTTGCTGCCTGGTCATTGCTGCCGTTTGCTTTGCTTTTGCATCGCCATCCTTTCGGCCCTCCGCCCTCCGATTGTCCGCCTCCCTCGCCCATCATCCATCGCATTAGGACCCGCCTTCGTCGCTCAAACACAGCGCCTTTCGTATTATTACTGTTGTTGCTGCCGCTATGGCGCCGCCATCCAGTGAGTGTTACTGCTCTGCTCCCTTGCCTGCTCGACTGATTCGTCCTGTTCGTCTCTTTCGGGCGAATCAATGGAACATGGGCCATTTTCCATTTCCTATTTTCCATTTTCCATTTTCTGCCCACGGTTGCCGCACGCCTCCATCATAGTCCCTCCCGTGTCGCGCTAGTCTGCGCAACACCTTGAGCCTCTCTTGCTTCTCGACATTCAGCATCCACCTTCTGCTTCTTCCCTTTGGCGCATCGTCAGCTTTCATCAAAACACGCAGCTGCGCCATCGTCACGACAACAGCCGTCATGCCTCCCAAGAGAAAGCTTGCTGACATTGAGCCCGAACCAACAGCCGTTCCTCCCTCGCTGCCTCCCTCCGTCGAAGAGGCTTACCGCCGCAAATGCGTCCAGCTGAAGAATCGGACAAACGAGGTCGAGGATGCCAACGACGCTGCTAGACTACGTCTCGCACGCATAAAACGCCAAGTCGAGAAGCTGAGGATAGAACGGGCCTTTTTGCTTGAACAGCTGGCCAAGCGCACCAGCACCAACGTTGAAGACTCTGAGGGTAGCCCGAGCCCACCACCAACTGTGAGCCTGCCCCGTCTTGACATTTATGTTTGTATAATCTTTTCGGATGTCTTTGCCAATTTTGATGAGCCTCACAACTCTCAATGCCACTCTGGCCGCGTATCGTCTCCCATTCATTTCACATGCTGACGAGCCCATCAGCCCAAGGACAAGCCGCTGCGCATCAAGCGTGGCCACCGAAAATCTGCCCTCCTCGACCTCGACTCCAAAGCCACCCCCAACAGCTCCTTCAAAGGACCCGCATCACCCTCAGAATCCCAGGCCAAGCGAGGCAGCGCCGACCCCGACGACACCCCTACCAATGGCATCAGCAAGCCATCCAAGCTCCCCAAGAACGCTTTCGAGCTCTACTGTGAGGACGCCCGGCCCATCCTTGAAGCTAAGAGCAAAGATGGCGATGGCGATGGCGATGGCGACGCTGATGCCGATCTAAACGTTGACGAGGAACTCACCCGCGCGTGGGAAGACCTTCCCGACGCCGACAAGGAAGAGTACGAGACTAAGTTTGAAGAGCTCTCCAAGAAGGCGGACGAGAAGGACGACGAGGACGAGGACAAAGACGGGACTGAAGATACGCCCGAGAAGGAAGAAAAGGCCGGGGACGCTGATAAGCCCGAAACTCAAGACGAAGATGTCGAAATGACCAATTATGACACAGAGGATCAGGATCAAGATGCAGATCAGGATGGGGAGACACGGATGGAGAAGGATGGGGATGATTAAACTGCTGGACATGGAGAGGAGGAGATGGGGGCATTTGGACAAAAAAGTCAGTGCGGGGAGTTTTTTGGTCTCTTCATTTTGTATGGTTAAACATACAAGGGGCGTTTGTTTTTGCTTGTATGAAATGTCGACGGGTTAATATGGTCAACAATATATACATAGATATTCAAAATAGCTTTGTGCCATTGGGTTTGTATTGATGCCATCCGTTTACTCAGATGTAAAAGCAGCAGGGTATCCCGTGTGCCTTGCAAGTAATAAATGCGTGTTTCCTACCTATACCCAAATGTTTTGGAAACTCCATTCCACCACTGGTATTGTAACATGAAGGACGGAGGATAAAAAGAAGAGAACAAACATGAAATATACATCGCTCTCCCAGCGGTGGTAGACTTGTCTAACATGGTCCTAGTAGATGAAGTTGACAATGGCATGGAACAGCGGCATGCTGCCTAATTTCCCGTATATCCAAGGCACTAGAATACAGCATATACCAAAAGAAATTACATGTCGCCTGCCCACACATCGACAGCAATATTGATACATGCGACAAAGATTTCCATGGCAATCAGTATAATAACTGGCGATATATTAGCACATTTCGAACAAGTTGAAAAACAACACCAGGGAAAAGAAAAGCGGACAAGCAACTTACCAATCCACTCGAGCTTCTCGCCGTGACCATGACTCAACTGGTCCTTGAGCACGGCCAACAGGTCGGCAATAACGTCGAGTCTCTCATTCAACAGGCCCACGCGCTGATCCATTTCCAGATAGCTCCTCACTGCTTGGTACACAGGTTCGAGCTGAGGCTCTACCCAGAAGAGTTCGGGGGTGTCAAGGACGGAGCCATTGAGGTGGATTGCGATGCGGAGGATAAAAAGGTCGCCTATTTGCATGTTGATTTGTTTCCGGGAGAGATTAATTTTGCCGGTGAGGGCGATGTGGGCGGGTATGTCTTTGCAGGTGTCGACGGTGGTGGCTATTAGTTCCTCGTACAGGGACGTCTGAATTTACTGCAGTTAGCATCGAGCTGTGTGGTGGTTGCGGTGGGTGTTGGAAGGACAGAGCACATGGGGCAGTCAGCAGTACCTTGACGCTTTGCGCGAGTGCGTGAGATATAGCCAGCTTGATCATGTAGTTGTTCCTGTCTCTTAATGTGATGAAATCGTTGTATATGCGAGCCTGGTACTCGCGGGTATAGTAAAAGTTGAAGAGCTCAGTCTCTATGTCGTCTGGCGCCAGCTTTTCTAGCTCGAATTTGGCCAGCTCTTTGAGGAATTTGGCCTCTTGTGATGCTGTCATGCCCCATATGACCACGACCCCGTAGTCAAATAGAAACACTTCAGGGGTGTGAACTTGGGTATCAAAGTCCAGGATGTCGTCTGCCGCGGGCGCTTCTTCTGTGACGGCTGGTCCCAGCAGGCTTTCATTGCCTAAATGACTGGGATCGGGAATATTGTTGGCAGAAAACTCGTCAGCGTAGCCGGAGTCATGGTTTTGCAAACCAAGAGTTTGATGGCGCTGGACCTCGTCTTCCATGACCTCGCTGCCGGTTGAGTGGCGCCGCAGGTAGCTCCGGACAGGGTCCTGGTGAATTCTGGTGGGTTTGGTGTAGGAGTAGGGAGTATAGATGCATTCGTCGATGATTTTGGGGTTGGCACCACGCGCTTTGCCCCGACCCTTGAGGAAGCGCATCAATGAGTCCATCTGGTACTTATCAGCGGTACAATAGGCCGTGACCCGGGGTAATCGATCGCGGTCGCTTTTGCCGAGTCTCGCAGCGTCTCTCCTCGCAGTAGGATCCTTAATTCTCGTGTACTGAGAGTAAACATCTCGGCCGCTCTCTTCATCTTCACCATCTTCAATGTCGGGGTTTGGTAAGAGCTTCAGCTTCTCCGTCTTCTTGGTGCTTCGCTGTGGCCCAATCTTGGAGCCGAGGTATGGTTGAACAGTGGTGGTGGTGGTGGGCACGGTGACGCTGCCGTGACTATTGCGCCTTTTGAGCTTGTTGTTCAATGCGGTGAGGACGGGCGGGCTGACACGAGGTGGCCCGGGAGGAAGGCTGCTGCTGGCAGATGCAGCGCTGCTCCGAGAGGAATAGGACTCGGGTTCGAAGGTCTTGGTAACGGGGTCGGGGCAAAAGGTGACGGTTCGAGCGTTTCGGGGCCGGGGATCGGAAGTAGGAGGCGTGGCAGGAATCAGGGGTGTGTTTTCGCTGATGACTTGGGGCTCCATGATGACGGGCCAGGATGATCAAAGGTTGGCTGGGTAGGGGGCCCTTTGAATCGGAGTTTATTGAGCAGCAAGCAGGTTGCTGTGATGGCGGATGCAGGAGCTCTGCTCGGGTGGTGCGGCCGACGGCAAAGGTTATTGCTGGATGAGATGGAGCGTCATAGTAAAGGGAGGAGCAAAACCATGCAATTGCATTCGGATGCTGTGAGTTGAGACAAACAGGGACCAAGGCAGAAAGGCACAGGGCGGCGGTGGTGGTTGATGGAAGATGGCGTCTGCAGCAAGTCGTCATGAGATTTTTTGAATGGAGTTTGTAGACTGTCAATAATGAATGACGGCAGTAGCTTGCGAGGTCTGTTCCCAATTCGGCCAAGAGTGGGCAGCGGCGGGAGGCCCGTGCATGTACATGGTACTATGTACATGCTTGTATGTGGCAGCAGAAAGTCAAGTGAAGATGATACTTAAGAGGTATGTATGTCAAGTACGTTAGAGTCGTGGAGTAATGGTGACACACCGTCTGCGCTTATTCGCCCTGGCTGAAAGGCAACATTGAAACAAGACGGACTTGGTCAACTAGAGCGCAGTGGCTCGCGGCATTCGTACTTAGACGGTCTTGAGGCTACGGCAAGGGCTATGAGTTCAAGGTTCCAGGGTACATGAGGAGGTACTCGGCTTGACAGACGCGTGAGGGAATCAATGTACCAGCCGACCTCAGCATTTGCTTGTGGCTTAGGTAAGTAAGTATGGAGTCTAAGCATACCAGGTGCCAATATGGTATTGACGCCTTTGCCTCGTCAAGAGGTATACACGAATGCACATAACCATGGTGTACTGAATCAACTGGCATACATATATCAATTGACATCTGCCAATATTGAGCCCGTGCTTCCACTTCCACTTCCACTTCCACTTTGCCCACAGCTCGGCGCCCTATGCACGCCCTCCGCCCTCCGGGGGACGCCACGACATGAGCGGCGGCAAAACATGAACAATGAACCAAGGTGTAAATTCTTAGGAGGCTTATTTATCAAGCAGTGCATTCAAAAAGAGCATCTCCGGAGATATTCCCAAGGGTCCAAAGTTTCTTGCCCTGCAGAGACGGGGGCGGCGGCCGCGGGGTCCCGCTCGGTGGGCCAAGCAACATGCAGTTCCTGGCCAGTTACAGGCACCTGCGCTCCAGTCTGCACAGGACCCCAGACTCGACGCACCTGCATCGATGCTCCCACATGCACCAGACCCACCAGACCATCTGTAGGTCGGGTCCAGGGTAAGTCGGGTTGAATCAATCTCACCAGCACGCCAGTTGCAAATCATTACTTCCAAAGTTACCACTTGGACTAGCTGACAACAACTCCTTGATTCCTCATGCATGAGCCAGGTTCGGTCTGATCCGAGCCCCGACTGTATGCTTAAATTCCGCAATGCTGCATCCAGGCCTGCAAACGCCGTTTGGTCCTGCTTGCAAACGCCGCGGAAATGCAACTCATCCGTCAACTCACCCGACAAGCATGGCACCATTCTTTGAAATGTCCAAGCCTTGAATGGCCCGATCTGCTCCATCGTGTGTGGTTTAAGGCTCTGTTTTGATACACCACAAGCCAAGCATGCATTATGCATTATGCATTGTGCTTTATGCCTCCGCAACCTGTCGACGTGCCTGATGCGCATCATCACGATTCGCCATCACCAGCTGACCATCTGACCGAGTGCTCGCCAAGCGCCAGTCGGACGGGAGGCTGTTCAGCCTCCCGTGTCTCGTCCTCCGGAGGGCGCATCTCCAAATGTACTCTCTCATCTTTCATCCGCGAACCAGCGGCCGTCTATAAAGTCCACCCTCCCCTGGACCTCCCTCGCTCTCTTCTTGCCTCCCTCTCTCATCAACCATCATACAACTCACCATCACCTCGCCTCACCTCGCCTCACCACAAACCATGCATCTACGAACCGTCCACGCCGAATCACGCATCCCGGTCCTCAGAGACCTCATCCGCTCATACCCCCTCGGCGTCCTCACCACCGCCATCCCATCCTCCACCGAACCCTTCATTCAGGCAACTCACATCCCCTGGGTTCTCGACGTCCAAGATGAGTCTAGCGAAACCGAGCTTGGTGTCCTCCGCGGCCACTTGGCCCGTCAGAACCCCCATAGCAAAGTCATGATTGAGTCCGTCTCCTCCAACAACAACAACAACGCCACCAACACCAACGTCCTGGAGCAAGATGTCCTGGTCCTCTTCACCGCCACCCCGTCACACTACGTCACGCCTCAGTTCTATACCGAGACGAAGCCATCGACTGGCAAAGTAGTGCCCACGTGGAACTACGCCGCCGTCCAAGCATACGGCAAGGCCAGGATCTACTACGACTCCAAGTCAGATGAGACGTCGCACTTTCTTACGCGCCAAATCACCGACTTGACCAACCACACCGAGATTTCCATCATGGATTATACCGGCCAGAACGGCCGCCCTGATCAGTGGAATGTGACGGATGCGCCGGACCGCTACATCGAGCTGCTCAAGAAGAACATCATCGGCATCGAGATCTCCATTGACAAGCTCCAGGGCAAGTTCAAGATGAGCCAGGAGATGAGCAAGGGTGATCGGGACGGTGTTGTCCAGGGATTTGCGAGACTCGAGTCGGATGTTGCGAGGGCCGTCTCCGAGGTTGTCCAGGAGAGGAGCGAGATGAGGGAGGCTGCGAAGGGATGATTGCTTGGGACTCAAGAGCAGATGAGAGCAGGCCAGAGTTTTCCCGCTTGCCGT